TCGCTCCCCCCCCAACCCCACCCCCACACACACACACACACACACACAAATCATGACTGCATCTTTCTGATGTTTGTGATAATTTGTCTTCTCGCCCTCGCCTCTGGGTTTAACATGTGTTATCGGCACTAGCACCAGCCTTCCCATGACTTTCTAAGCTACTAGTTCATTGCCAGAATATTCGTATGCACGCAGACACACATAGATTGTGTGCCGCCTCCACAGTGAAGGTTGTATCGAGTGCACCAACGGCTGTCTTAAGCAATATTATGTAGTTTGCTCTTAACCCTGTCCCTGATGCAGCTCTGTTATCAGTGTCCTTAAAACACAAAAGTGGTTTCAAACATAAGTCAGCCATCGGTCAGCAAGCCTTGTACTCAACGATCACGAAATTATCAAAAGCATTCACCAATCTTTCAGCCAGAACAAAACAAATAACAAATCAAATGTGCACATAGTTTTAAATCAGTACAGGTCATAAAATGTTCGTGATATTTAATACTGAAAACACAATATTCAGTTGTAGGGCGACCCTGAGGACAAGAAATAGCATGCAATTATAACTGTCATTTGGATGCTGCGGGGTCAAATCCTCAAGTACCATTGCTGCTTTTAACTGTTATGCTGTCTATAATAAGTGTTAGGTCGTCATTGCTGTCGGCAACATTCTCGGTAAAACCTGGCCATAATACAAACTGTGGAGTCTGTTTTTAACCATTCAATTCAGTCTTTTCTATGCAGCCACATGTTCGCACAGTTAGATGTATATACAAGTTCATTTACTGATCATTGTATTATTTTAGAAAGTGTTCAGCTCAATTAGAACTTACAAATTAACTCTCAATCTTTTAACAAAGAAATTTGTTTCACAATAATTAAATTCCTTGGTTATATAACTGTTTGGGGTAACGTGAACATTGACGAAAATATTGTTTCGAAATTTCTTAGGATTGTCTGCTCAAGTGTAAATGTCTCACACATGCGCAGGACAACATAGGTTCTATACACTAGTTGAACTCTTATGTCACCATAGTTACACACTTTCATACTGACAACATGACATTTTGAAATGTTTACAATGAGTAAACAAATTTAGATCAAGTAATAACAATATACTCTTCTTCTTCTTCTTCTTCTTCTTCTTCTTCTTCTGCCTTTGGAGGGCACATAGTGTTGTGGTTACAAGCTAGATTACGATATCTGCGCATTTCAGTCAAACACAGCTCATTTAAGCAAACTTCACATTATTAACATGCTACGACATGCTTGTTAAGGCGTAGTGAGTCCAACCCCCTTCCCCCCCCCCCCATCACAATGAGGCCCCTAAACCTACACAGGGTTTATGCAACATACATAGGGAAACATACATAGGACAACATTCAATTGAATCAAAGTGAGTTGTTAGGATATCGAGAAATTGTAACAACAAATAAATGACTCCAACTAAACAATAACATACAGACAATTGAAAAAAAAAATTAAAAAACGCCAAAAACAAATAATGTGTATACCAGCAGTAATCAGCCTATTAGGTGTCGTCTCCACAATAAGGTTTGTATGCAAAAAGATCTCCACCACGCTCTATCTCTTGCTGTTGGTCCATATCTTGATGTTGTCTTCCCACTTGGATCATTGTCCACCTCTTGCTCTCTTGGATTTGCACCGGGTGATCTTGTTAACACAGCTGTTAAATACGCTTGGCTTTTATTCAAGAGCACAATGTTCCATGGTGATGGATTTTAGTTGTTGTCGGAGGTAAAAAAAAAAAAATCATAACCTGAACAGTTTCTGGTGACAGCCCTAGCCATGCGGCGCGAAAGCCTCGGGCTCAAGAACCTACTGGTCAATGAAGACAGTAGTTTAGTTCAGTTTAGTTTAGTTTAGTGTAGTTTAGTCGACGGATCATGGTTGTAAACCCATAAGTGCTCCGTTCTACTTCTAACTCAAAACCGAGTGTGGAGAATCTCAGCACAGTGCACAAACTCTGTTGCACCGGCGAGGATCCTTAAATACTTATAGGGTAGATTTTCAAATTCAAATTTTGCCCGGGCAGCTACTCTTTTCGATCTCCAACTGACGAAGAATTTTTTACATGCGCAGCAATACACACGGACGTCAAGTCTTACTACCCAGAGACCAGGGAAAATTACTAGAAGTCCACGTGAAAAAAATCATAGCTTTTACCGGAGTCTGAACCCGGGACTTCCAGCACTCGAGGAAAATGCCAAGCAGACAGAAGGAAAATCTTGCTGATCAGACTTGTACTGGGCGGGATTTTGGTTACAACTTCCTGACAATCAAATTACTGTTCTTAACCAAAACTAAACGCATCGCTAAACCTTAGGTTAGTTGCGTATCTTTTACAGGACGTTGCAGAACCAACCCCAACCATTGAGTGGTTTTTCTAGGCAAATTTACGTCCAGTAGTTTGCCGTTGCTTCCAGGAAGGTCGGCTTTCTTGATACCAATGTCGAAACTAATGCAAGGTGCATGGTCCGCAGCTGGGATCGAACCTGGCATCTCTGCATTACGAAGCGTTCACATCGACTTAGCCACAGAACCGACCATCGCTATACACTCCTTGATACTAGAACGGCAGTGTGACATTTGTTGCTGTCTCTTAGCCACAAACATAAACAGAGGTAGCCACAAAAATGTATACACAATAATTGCCCAGCAATAAAATACATAAACATTTTCATTGTGGCTACTTGCTCAAAAACATCATCATTGCGTGACATTTTCCGCTAATTTAAATCTAATTATTGTAGCTATGTTTATTGTATTCTGGCTATGAAAAGTGTCACATGTCCTGTTCTCACTGTGACAGTACTGATTGACTTTCTATACCACCAGGACATCACACAAGCGATAAACACCCGATGACACAAAGTGCCACCATGTGGATGAGGATCACCGTGGAGAGGTCCCAGAAACCGCGTTCAGACAAGTGGCCATATTTATGGCCTGCCTATATTGCGGCCCCTGGCAAAAGCCAGAGAGGGGCTTCAAATAACAAAAAATTACGTCCTAAAAAGGACGTAAGGATATTGTAATTACTGTGACAGTACAGTTTTGTGCCCTGACCGTCCCGCCGGTACTCAATGGTCCCGAGTTAGAAACATTTAGGAATAATCTCAATTTACACTATTTTTTAAATCATTAGACCTTAAAAGATATATTTCATAATTTTAGATACTTTTAATATAAATATTAATAATAATAATAATAATAATAATAGTAAAACATTTAGAATTTTTTTTTTTTTTTTTGGAAAGGCGAGGGGGTGGGTGTCGTTTTTAGCTCAAAATAGTATGGTCAACCTACAATAGCATAGAGCGCCGATCGTTCTTCATACAATGAAAAATTATTGAACAGAAAATTACCAAGTAAAATCAGCAACAAAAAAGAACTTTTTTAAAAGTTTAGTTCGGCGAATAATGGGTTTTTAAAAAGTATTCTCAGGAAACCCAGAAATCAGATCCTCATTAGAGGAGGCATAACCAAGAGGCCACGTCAGGAAAACGATAAATGGCACCACAAATAATATGTTTGCCCATCACCTTGCACCAGACACAACATCGAGTGAACGACATCAAATACACATTCGGAGCTAGTCAGGGTTAAGAGCTCCTCGGACGAATCGGCTCCAAGTCTGCAGATATTCAAGCTGCATCAGGTGACAGCAGCAAACAGTCATGAGGACAATGAACTTTGAAACCATCCATAACAGCCACATGGACGGTGACTCAGCTTGTAGCCACTTACAAACAGTCACGTGGACGGTGACTCAGCTTGTAGCCACTTACAAACAGTCACGTGGGTGGTGACTCAGCTTGTAGCCACTTACAAACAATCAGTGGAGTGACCCAGCTTGTAACCACTTACAAACAATCAGTGGACTGACCCAGCTTGTAGCCACTTACAAACAACCAAGTGGAGTGACCCAGCTTGTAACCACTTACAAACAACCAAGTGGAGTGACCCAGCTTGTGGCCACTCACAAACAACCAGTGGAGTGACCCAGCTTGTAGCCACTTACAAACAACCAAGTGGAGTGACCCAGCTTTTAGCCACACACAAACAGCCAAGTAGAGTGACCCAGCTTTTAGCCACACACAAACAACCAAGTGGAGTGACCCAGCTTTTAGCCACTCACAAACAACCAAGTGGAGTGACCCAGCTTTTAGCCACTTACAAACAACCAAGTGGAGTGACCCAGCTTGTAGCCACTTACAAACAACCAAGTAGAGTGACCCAGCTTGTAGCCACTTACAAACAACCAAGTGGACTGACCCAGCTTGTAGCCACTTACAAACAACCAAGTGGAGTGACCCAGCTTGTAGCCACACACAAACAACCAAGTGGAGTGACCCAGCTTGTAGCCACTTACAAACAACCAGTGGAGTGACCCAGCTTGTAGCCACTTACAAACAGTCAGAGGGAGTGACCCAGCTTGTAGCCAATCACAAACAACCAGTGGAGTGACCCAGCTTGTAGCAACTTACAAACAACCAGTGGAGTGACCCAGCTTGTAGCCAATCACAAACAACCACTGGAGTGACCCAGCTTGTAGCCAATGACAAACAACGAGTGGAGTGACCCAGCTTGTAGCCAATCACAAACAACCAGTGGAGTGACCCAGCTTGTAGCCAATCACAAACAACCACTGGAGTGACCCAGCTTGTAGCCAATCACAAACAACCACTGGAGTGACCCAGCTTGTATCCACTCACAAATAGTCACGTGGGCGGTGACTCAACTTGCGGTCAGCCACAAAAAAGTCAGGGCAGTGACTCAGCTTGCAGCCTCCAACAAACAGCCAGGAGGACGACGTGTGAAGCCACCTCAACCTGGGGTTCAGTCAGATTTCTCAGTGGAATTCTTCCATGCTCAACGAAGATGTAAGCTGTTTAGATATGTGTGTAGGTCGTCTGCGACACACAGACTAATTGGCAGCAGCCAAGACAATGATCGGTTCCCTTATTTTCAGATGATGCTCATTTCTTGGGCCACAATGCTTCAACAGAGAACAAAATGTCTGCAATGTTGCGGTCTAGTAAATCGCCATCCAAGAATACGGCTGCATCATCCGGGGATTTGACTGGAGTTGCTTCTTCCACGGGCGGGGTTGTAAAGATTGGAGGCAATAAACGGCCAAACATCGATGAGGGAAATGGTCGAGGGTCCGAGTGCAAGGAAAAGTGTCTTTCCAACTTGGCCTGTTTCTTGCGGCCAGAGGTCAAAGACAACGATTTCGGCCCTGACCCCAGCTTTTTCCGTATAACTGTATGTTCCAAGAGAGGTCTGGATTCTGGGGTCAAGTCACTATCATGTGTCAGAACCACTTTTGGAATTGTTTTCGGTGGAGTAATTGGTTCTGTTTTTGACAAGTCGAGTAAACTAACACTCTTCTTGACGTACTGATGAGGGTGGCAGCGTGTGGCCCCCAGTTGCGGTCGGTCATATAACTCCAAATTGCCAAAACTAGCACTACATGGTGTCATCACGTAGTTACCCTTAATACAGCGTAGTTTCTTGGAGACGGTAGCTCTAAACAAAGGAGAGCTACTCTGGAAGTTACGCCCACTCCTTCGACAGTTGGCGTCGTCGGCTAGTATACTTCCTAGCTCACTGTCTCTGTCCGTGCTGCTGTAGAGAGACTCCACGGAGGCGTTTCGGAGCTCCGAATCCTCCTCTTCTTCAAGATCATCACTGAATGTGTTCTGTCTAGTACTCACTCCAGACTTCCATGCCGAACTAGGATCCAGGAAATCGTCGGACCGTGTGGAGCTTCTGTTCCGCTGCGTGACATCGCTACTAGCGTGACTGACGTGGCTGTCACACGACGTGGAGTTCTGTCTGGTGTTGGGAGCTCTACTCCCACAGGCCCCGGGAGAGCTTCCTCCGGTCAGGGGACTTCCGTTGCCAAACCCGCCACTGGCAGACACACCCAGGTGATGGTTCTCGGCTTGTTCCTGGCAGACGCGGTTCAGCTGGGACACGAACACCGATGTATCCAGCTCCACGTTGTCGTGCTCTGCCATCTCGGCCAGCCATGCTATCAGCTTATCGTAGGAATCCACTGGCGGACCACGCAGTTCCTCCACTCGAGACAGAGCGCGGGCTGGGGACAACAACATGAACATATATATTAATATCATAGTATTCTGTTTGTAGGTTTGTTATTTAAAGTTAGAGGACTGACTGACGTTCATCCCCACCAGGACAAACGCCGAGTGATAAACACCCAGTGACACAAGGTGCCACCATTCGGATGAGGATCACCCGGCGACAGATCCCAGAAAACCCGCTCAACCTATAGGTTATATAAGGGACCCCAACAACAGACGGGATGGGTTTAAAAAACACCCTTGCCCCCCCCCCCCCCCCCAAAAAAAAATAATTGCGTCCCATATCGGGAATGAGTTTTCAATGAATCTAGAGGTACTCTTCTTCCCTTACTCCTCCTCCCCCTTTCCCCTCCTCCTGCTATTCTTCTTCTTCATTTTCTTCCTTCTTCTTATACCTCTATCATCTCTCAGTGGAGCAAAGACGCGCATCAGCCAAGCCCTCTGTAAATGTATTAATCATTTGTCACACTGTCTAGCCAAGTTGTCTACATGAATAAATGATCAGTTGTAGTTAATAGCCTCTTACGACACTCGTGGCGTATGCTTTCATTGCGTAGCAAGGTAAACCCGGATGGTGACTCTATGGTTAGCCAGAGAATAACTGAAGTGCTCCCCGAGTGGCTTCCAGAGCCCCAGTTGGGGGGGGGGGGGGATTAGACGAAAGACGACTAACTAAGGAATAGGTAAAATTGATGTGCTGGGCGAAAAGCCAACCGCCAATTTACGGGCCAAAGCAGAAAAAGTGGAAGAAGACTGAAGTGCAATGCAAACTGCAAAGTTTTAAGAGCATTCCTTTACGCATGGACGGTTGCACAGAAAATGTAAAACTGCATGTTTTTGTGTCCGATGTAGGTGACGATGGTGTGAATTTAAATACATCCGAGGAAGTTGGTCCGATTATATTCATGGCGAGGCGCGGACGCCGTCTGGAGGTGACAGGTTCAATTCCCGGCACAGTAATTTATAGCTTTCATTTTTTATGTTGTCTAGTGTGTTCTTCTATCTTTCTACTTCTTTCTATAGGTGCCGATCACAACACTTTCTGTTACTTGATTAATTCATAATGTTTAACGGCATCAAAAGGTTCCCCCCTTTGTTTATTTATAGGAATGACGTATACACACCGGAACCTACCAATCAAATACCTTTCTTAAATGTTTGTGTATTCTAGACAAAGCAATAAGGCCTACTGTGTTCGTAAATTGTTGCTGTGATTGTTATTCGACATTTGCTTCGTTAATATAAATTTATGTAATCTATGGTGCCATTTCAATGGGTTGAAATGAATTCTGTCCGTATTCCATAGTTGTGGATTTCAAGCTGTACCATAGACATGGCCAATAAGACACCCTTTTTTTTGGGGGGGGGGGGGGGGGGGGGGGGGGGGGGTGGGGGGGGGTGCCTAGTTGACCATGTATCTTAGTGCACTTGTATTCATGGCGAGGCGCAGACGCCGTCTGGAGGTGACAGGTTCAATTCCCGGCACGGTAACTATAGCTTTCGATTTTTATGTTGTCTAGTGTGTTCTTCTATCTTTCTACTTCTTTCTATGAGTGCCGATCACAACGCTTTCTGTTACTTGATTAATTCATAGTTTGGACTCGGGAGTTTCAAAAAAGCACGGTGTTGTTAACAGGAGCAGACTTCGATAAAAACCGGAAGTTAATGTAAGCGGAATCAGACACACAGCTACACATGTGAACGAATGAACCAACGAACAGACGAACTGTCAAAAGGTCAAAAATTGGGCACGCAGGCCCGTCTTAAATTCGACCCTTCAAATACCCGTCTTTCATCCAGCCGTTGTATTTTATCAATAAAGCATGTTATGCCTACATAACAATATGCATATCATGAAAATAAAAAAAAAATAAAAAAAAAAAAACCAGCAAGCATGCATGGTATGCGCACGGGCTCGCAAACACAAAAAACACACACACCCACTCATCCACTCACTCCTCACTCACTTACACACACAAATACATACATGCATACATACGTACGTACAGACAGACAGGCAGGCAGACAGACAGATAGGCAGATCTATACATCTGTTAAACTACTATATTATACACATCGCATCAAATGCCGTTTTAATCTTCAGATTCTAAAACTGTTGTATTCTAAAGCTTTTTTATATTACTAAACCTTAACAACCTAAAACATACACTTTCTAATATACCGTATTATAAAGTTAAGCTCGATCTCATCTTTCCATACCAAACCTTAGCCACACTAGACCAGGCTCTAAAACATGTTTGATACTCACCACAAGGTGTCTATTACAGTAGCTCGTTTTCTTCTTCTTCTTCTTCTTCTTCTTCTTCTTCTTCTTCTTCTTCTTCTTCTTCTTCTTCGCGTTTACCGGCTGTAAACTCTGGTTGAAAAACTTTGGTTGTTCATCATTTTAGAGTGGTCTTGTTCCAGAATTTGAGTGTTGTGTGCACATCCGTGTTACAATTCTAGCTTTTTTATAAGCACTGTTGGTTGCTCGTCTCGCAGGCAGATGCTCTTAATTAGTCATCTTTTACGATATGCGTGTCGGAAAAGGGTCAACCACGCCCTCCCCCACACTGAGCCCGGAATTCCCACAGGATAGCGCTAAAAATAATCCCATTAAAAAGGTGCTAGTAGTGCGTACCGTTGCGTACCGCAAAATTACAAAAATGTCCTCTCGGTGAAGCCCATTACCACGCCCTTACATGACCGGACAGACAATATACAAGCGACCATCATTACAAGGGACATTAGCCTGTTCGTACCACCTTCCAGGGGATGTCATTACACAGGCCAAAATTAGAAGGGCAGACGACTAATGATGTTTGGCCACCGCCGTTAAAATTAAAAGGGATGTCTCAGGAAGCGTTGAGGTTGGACTGCTGGGTCGATAGTCACTCGGTTTACGGTGTCGATGTTGCAGACTTCTTTGTTTTCTTTCGTTGAGGCGCCGGTGGAGTTGGGTGGAATCTTTTACACTAGCAAGGTTTTTTTGTAGTCTGTTCCCGAAATCGTGCCTAATTAAAAAAAAAAAAATCTGTAACTCAGTAAACATTACAGTAAACATATGTTTTGTGCCTTAGTGAAACGTTAATATCTGACTGCTCCAGACTGCCCCTCCATGTACACCAACATGGACCCCTCATGTCCACCAACATGGACCCCCATGTCCACCAACATGAACTCCCATGTACACCAACATGGACCCCCCATGTACACCAACATGGACCCCCATGTCCACCAACCTGGACCCCCATGTCCACCAACCTGGACCCCCATGTCCACCAACATGGACCCACATGTCCACCAACCTGGACCCACATGTCCACCAACATGGACCACCCATGTCCACCAACATGGACCCACATGTCCACCAACCTGGACCCCCCATATCCACCAACATGGACCCCCCATGTCCACCAACATAGACCCCCCATGTCCACCAACATAGACCCTAATGTCCACCAATATGGACCCACATGTCCACCAACATGGACCCACATGTCCACCAACATGGACCCCCCATGTCCACAAACATGGACCCACATATCCACCAACCTGGACCCACATGTCCACCAACATGGACCCCCCATGTCCACCAACATAGACCCCCGATGTCCACCAACCTGGACCCCCATGTCAACCATCCTGGACCCCCTTAACCACCAACCTGGACCCACATGTCCACCAACCTAGACCACCATGTCCACCAACCTGGACCCCCATGTCCACCAACCTAGACCCCTTTGTCCATCAACCTGGACCTACATGTCTACTAACCTGGACCCACATGTCCACTAACCTGGATCCTTATGTCCACCAACCTGGACCCCCATGTCCACCAACCTGGACTCCTATAACCATCAACCTGGACCCCCATGTCCACCAACCTGGACCTCCATAACCACCAACCTGTACCCCAATGTCCACTAACCTGGACTCCATGTCCACCAACCTGGACCCCCATGTCTACTAACCTGGACCCACAAGGATACTGGGTCCTGGTTGTTGTCGTGATCTTTCTCGCGATATGCATCTCGCATGGCATTGGTGGCACATCCTCTGTCCAGATAGTTACTACTTTGCCTGCCAAATATTCTGCACACTCAATGCCTCGAAAACCCACATGGTCTAACGAGACCTTGTAGACAGTTAGATTAGCAGTTCGGGATGCGTTTAGTTAGAGAATCCATTCTTGCTTTGATAAAACTGGGCTGGATTCCCTTGAGCTAAGTAGTAATAGAAATACTTATCAAAGCTATACGACATGTACATCTAAAGATAGAAGATAACTTATTTATGAAAGCCATATTTTCTTCATCAACCCATAATGTCCTGCGAGTTATATCGTAACTATAGGATTGTCCCAGTATACCCATTTATACAGTTGAACAAGGTTTCTGTAATTTCCTACTGTTCGAATAGGACCTGAATAATGGCTCTTTAAGTCACCAGGTGTTGATCTTTCAGGCTGCGATCACGAGAGTGAGGGGGGTTTAAATCACATCTCTACATCATAATGGAAATGGAAAAGGGATATCAAAACAACAAAACATCTGTACAGAGTATACTAGAAAGACAACAAACCCAAAGAGCTATTCATATCGAAGGGAAGTGAGAAGGGAAAAATCATCATCATCGTCATCATCATCATCCTGTAGCAGGTCCTTTGCAGAACGTCGCTCTCCCCACTGTCTGCCTGCCAGATACTTGGTCACTTACTAGCTCTCCCGACTCCTGCACTTTTATATCCCCCGTGTCCCTTATATCATGTGTCCATCTTTCTCTCCCTCTTTAAGGGAGACATATATAGAAACAAAATCGAAGCTGCAGGACAACGACCCATTCACATACAAAACGATACAGACACTTGAACAGCAAAGCGAATCGGACTAGACGGTAGACAATTTCCAACAGACACGACTGAGAAAAACTGACCAGCAAACACATTTCCATGTCTGCGTCTGAAAGCTTGCAGACAACAGTTTTACACAAG